TATCTATATCTATATCTATATCTATATCTATATCTATATCTATATCTATATCTATATCTATCTCTTTCTTGCAGATATCGGACAACGTACAGCGCGGCAACTACGCCCAGCTGAACGATAAGGATGTGGCCCACTTCGAGCAGCTGCTGGGCAAGAATCACGTGCTCACCGAGGATCTGGAGGGCTATAACATATGCTTTCTGAAGCGCATACGCGGTGAGTTGGCACCCTCTCGCTCTATCCCTCTACGCCTCTCTCTCTGAATCTCCGTTTTCTCTCCAATCTCAGGCAACAGCAAGCTGGTGCTGAAGCCGGGCAACACGCAGGAGGTGGCCGCCATTTTGCGCTACTGCAACGAGCGGCGGCTGGCGGTGGTGCCGCAGGGCGGCAACACGGGTCTGGTGGGCGGCTCGGTGCCCATTTGTGATGAGATAGTTCTGTCCATGCAGCGTATGAACAAGGTGCTCTCCGTGGATGAGGTGACGGGCATTGCCATTGTGGAGGCCGGCTGCATTTTGGAGAACTTCGATCAACGGGCACGGGATGTGGGTCTAACGGTGCCGCTCGATCTGGGCGCCAAGGCCAGCTGCCACATCGGCGGCAATGTCTCGACAAATGCCGGCGGCGTTCGTGTCGTACGCTACGGCAATCTGCACGGCTCCGTGCTGGGCGTCGAGGCGGTGCTGGCCAATGGCCAGGTGCTCGACCTGATGTCCAACTTCAAGAAGGACAACACGGGCTACCACATGAAGCACCTGTTCATCGGCTCCGAGGGCACACTGGGCGTGGTCACCAAGCTGGCGATGCTCTGTCCGCACGTCTCGAAGGCCGTCAACGTCGCGTTCATCGGACTCAACTCGTTCGACGATGTCCTCAAGACATTCGTCAGTGCCAAGCGCAATCTGGGCGAGATTCTCAGCTCCTGCGAACTCATCGATGAATTGGCCCTCAACACGGCCCTGCAGCAGTTCAAGTTCCTCAAGTGAGTACGACTAGCAAATACTCTGCAAACTTGCGGTATAAACAGATTCGTTTTACATTCGATGTAATCAAATCTTTGCATTCTTTATAATATTTACAGGGTATACAGAGCAATGTTTGATTTGTTGCAAACTTAGTTACATTTGAATTTTACTCCATGATCGTAATTTTCGTATTTACAGGGTATATGATATATGCCTTTCAAGTTTTTAGGTTTACGTTCATACGCTTAGCTTCTAGCAGACTTTTTGAGTGTTTACAGGGTATGCAGGGTACAGAAAAAAACAATTTATGAGGTATTAATTTAAAGTCAGGAAATTTGTATTGAGCGCTTATGAACCTGATGCTTATTAAATATTTATAGTATTTACAGGGTATACTGGGTATAAAAATCATCATTTATTCTTCTTAACTGTTGAAAGGTTCTCTTAACTTATAAGGAATATAGATTCATTAAGATTACTTCTCACTCCATCTCTTAATATTTACAGGGTATAAAGATTATATCAACAATTAAACTATGCATTCTTTATTAAGAACTTACATCTTTAGCTTTACATCCATAGCTAAACTCAATCTGCTCCTTACCAGTTGTGCATTTGCAGGGTATAAAGGAGGTTAAACCTAGTGATTCCCCTAAAAAAAAGCTCTAACGACTTTTAGTTTGTACAGGGTATACAAAGTAACAATTTCATTTTCTCCTTTTACCGTTAGCTCACCCATCTCTGGCTATCCGTTCTACATGCTGATCGAGACATCGGGCAGTAACGGTGATCACGACGAGGAGAAGATCAACCAATTCATTACCCAAGGCATGGAGCGTGGCGAAATTCTGGACGGTACCGTTAGCGGAGAGCCCGGCAAAGTGCAGGAAATCTGGAAAATACGCGAAATGGTGCCGCTGGGCCTGATCGAGAAGAGCTTCTGCTTCAAATACGACATATCGCTGCCGTTGCGCGACTTCTACAGCATCGTGGACGTGATGCGCGAACGTTGCGGCCCCCTGGCCACAGTGGTTTGTGGCTATGGGCATCTTGGCGACTCGAATCTGCACTTGAATGTTAACTGTGAGCAGTTCAACGACGAAATTTACAAGCGCGTCGAGCCGTTCGTCTACGAATACACCTCACAGCTGAAGGGCAGCATCAGTGCCGAGCACGGAATTGGTTTCCTCAAAAAGGACTATTTGCACTATTCCAAGAATCCCGTTGCCATCGAATGGATGCGCGATATGAAGAAGATGTTCGATCCCAATGGCATACTGAATCCCTACAAGATGTTGAATTAAATGCAGTTTGGAACTAGCCCGTTCATTTTTTTTTTTTTTTACTTCTAATTATATGTATATGTATGTATGTATGTATATGTAAAAAAGCTTTTAATAAATGTGCATTTGTTTGCTTGTGTACTTTAGCTTTGAGCTTTTTCATTTCATTGCATTTTCGGGCCGCCGTGCCTATCGATAGCGGATATCGATAAGAGGCGTACCTGGAGGGCGGCTCAAGGTGGAGTAGAAAAAGTTTTCGTTTGCTTCGATCGTGCTAAAAACTGCGCGCAGTTAGAGATGAACGTCGTGCAAAAGTAGGTATTGGGAGATGAGCAACAAGTGAGTCGAAAATAAGAGCTGAATCGGTGAATCATAATAAAAATTTTAATATAATAGATCAGCTCAAAAAAATTATTTAATAAAAAAAAAAAAAATCAACGAAAACGAGATTCATGCATTTTAATAATATTTAATAAACTTCAAGATAAGTTTGATATGTATATATTTTATATTTTTTTTTTTATATGAATGTTTATGTTTGTTAACGTGTAAATTGTTTATGTTCTATAGAATTTATTAAAGTAATATTCAATATTTGTTTGACTTGCAATTAAAGTTATGTCAATTTCCCATACGCCCATACGATCAGTACATATCGAGCGACTGCGTGACACGCCGTTGTAACGCTTACATACGCATCACTAGTGTAAAGCTTCACGGCTTTATTTACTTTTTTTTCGGCATTTATCGTTTACGCTTTGGCAACGTTTCGTCAGTTTCAGTTGGCGAGCGCAAGCGGCCGGACGACAAAAGCGTGGGGAAGGTGACGAAAGCGCAAGGAAATAAACAAGTTTTGCGTAAAATTTACAATACTATATTCATAAATCATTAAGTAAAAATAAAGCAAATATGAGCGGGTAAGCAAAATTTTTGTGTTATTTGTCATTAGTTACGTGCTGATTTCATTATTTTTATTTTATTTTGTATACCTTTTGTTGCTCTTGTGAAAATGCAGGAAAGCTGATATTGCACTCATTGGCCTAGCTGTCATGGGTCAAAATCTCATATTGAATATGGACGAGAAGGGCTTCGTGGTTTGTGCATACAATCGTACCGTATCGAAGGTGCAAGACTTTCTAAACAACGAGGCCAAAGGCACCAAAGTGATTGGCGCCGAATCACTGAAGGACATGGTCGACAAGCTGAAAACGCCACGCAAAGTCATGTTGCTGGTCAAGGGTAAGTTATGGCTGTTGTTGTTGTAATAATGAGTGAATGGCGTGAAGTGATCGTTAGGAAATATAAGTGTATGCGCGTGTGCGTGTCCCTGTGTGTGTGTGTGTGTGTTTGTGTGGAAGTCAAAGCAAAGTCATGCACAAAAAAATGCATAGCATGCGTCAAAAACAACAACATCCAGTCAAGGAGAGAGCGTTTGCTTCAAGCTCATCCACTGCCGCTCAATCGCTCTCAAAGAGAGACAGAGAGAGAGAGAGAGAGAGAGAGAGAGAGAGTGTCATCATATACATATGGTTTACAATTTGTTTTTGTTTACCATTGCCATATGTACGCTATCGATGTTTATCACATATTTAGAAATATATCGTTTAAGCTCAGTACGCACCTTTATGGCTAAATGGTAAATAGTGCAATTTATGCATAGCTTAACTGAGCAGCTTACACTGCCTTCTCCATGGGCCGTGACATTCATGACGTTAAAGACATTGACAAACGTAGCTGAACAGGTACTTAGCGCTTGGGTCACGATCAATGCCGGCGATAAGAGCTGCCGTCAAGCAATCAAGAAGCAAGTTACCATTATCTCGCCAAATCGCAGAAACTTACGACTTTGGGCTGACCTCAGTTCAAGGTCAATTTTATGCACTGCTATTACAATTAGAGGTGAAAAGCGGACGGCTTAGAAAACTAAAAGGGAATCAAATTAAAGCACGTTTCACTTCAGTAAAAAAGGAGAATATCGTGAACTGTAGAATTGATTTAAAAAAATTTGTAATATTAAAATTTGTCATATTTGCATTTGTCGATGACGTTGTGCCACTCTAATCAGCGCATGTTCCATCACTAGATTAACCTTAGGAGGTGGCCTTACATGCATTTTGCACGATCAGCAAACTAGTGTGTGGGCACGCGGTCATCTCTGAGATTGCCTTTCTAATGCCAGTTTACATTATTCTATTTGGCAGCTGGCAGTGCTGTAGATGATTTTATTGGCCAGCTCGTGCCGTTGTTGTCGCCGGGCGATGTCATCATTGATGGCGGCAACTCTGAATACCAGGACACGACGCGACGCTGCGAAGAGCTGGAGAAGCTGGGCATACTCTATGTCGGCTCTGGCGTGAGTGGCGGCGAGGAGGGAGCACGAAATGGGCCATCTCTAATGCCAGGCGGTAATGCGGCTGCCTGGCCACTGATCAAGCCCATATTCCAGGCCATTTGTGCCAAGGCCGATGGCGAGCCCTGCTGCGAGTGGGTGGGCGATGCGGGCGCCGGCCACTTTGTGAAGATGGTGCACAACGGCATCGAGTATGGCGACATGCAGCTCATCTGCGAGGCATACCACATCATGAAGAAGCTGGGTCTCACGTCACCTCAAATGTCCGAGGTGTTTGGCCAGTGGAACAGCACCGAGCTGGACTCATTCCTCATCGAGATCACACGGGATATATTGAGCTACAAGGACAGCGAGGGATACCTGCTGGATCGCATACGCGACACGGCTGGCCAGAAGGGCACGGGCAAATGGACTGCGATAGCGGCGCTGCAATACGGCGTGCCCGTCACACTGATCGGCGAGGCCGTCTTCTCGCGCTGCCTGTCCGCTCTGAAGGATGAGCGCGTTGCGGCCAGCGGCGTGCTGAAAGGACCCAGCTGCAAGCCCTGCGTGCCGGACATTAAGAAATACCTGAATGGCATCAAGTACGCGCTCTACTGTGCAAAGATCGTCAGCTATGCCCAAGGCTTTATGCTGATGCGCGAGGCAGCCAAGGAGAACAACTGGAGTCTAAACTATGGCGGCATCGCGCTGATGTGGCGCGGCGGCTGCATCATACGCAGCGTCTTTCTGGGCAACATCAAGGATGCGTACACCCGCCAGCCGACACTCTCGAATCTGCTGCTCGACGACTTCTTCAAGCGCGCCATTCAGCAGGGCCAGAGCTCGTGGCGTGAGGTGGTGGCCAATGCCTTCCTCTGGGGCATCCCTGTGCCCGCTCTGTCCACGGCCCTGAGCTTCTACGATGGCTATCGCACGGCCACGCTGCCGGCAAATCTGCTGCAGGCGCAGCGTGACTATTTTGGGGCCCACACCTACGAGCTGGTGAACAGGGAGGGGGAGTTCCATCATACCAATTGGACGGGCACCGGCGGCAATGTTTCGGCCAGCACCTATCAGGCATAGAGATACCAACCACATTCCAAGTTTACAGTTAACCTTGATTTTTTTTTTCGTATACTCGTAATAACAAATAGGCTGGCCTCTTAGTGTATTTCTATTCTATTTCGTTATTTTTTCTCACTTTTTTTCTTGAGTACTTTAAGGCGGTACTTAATTGTACAATATTTAATTAGTTTCATTGTAATAATATATATTATTAAACTGGTGTGTTTTTCTAAAAATCTCCAGTGCTTTGACTTCTTTTGGCGGCAACTAAATTGCACATTAACAAAAACAACAACAACAAAAACAATCAAAATTTTAACGAGTCTTTCGCTGCTATTGTCCCAGCTGCCTTATGCCGTGCTTGTGGTATGTATGTGTGTGTGTGTGTGTATGTATGTCTGTCTCTGTGCATGTGATAGCGATGATAAATTCTCAGTCGTCTGATGGCCGCAATGTCTTTTTCTGTTCGATAACCAGCTTGTCGGTTGTGTAAAGATGGCCAATAATTACCTGCAAGTAGAAGAGTGCATGGCTCAATGAAAATAGTTCGCTGTTCGCATTGTTATCTTTGGGGGATTTTGACGTCAAATGTGACGTGCACAATGCGATAAGGATTGGGCAACTGGGCATATCAAATACATTATGTGTATGTATGTGTATGCATGCATGTATGCACATGGTGGTACAGCTGATTTGCCAATTTAATGACCCGGCACAAGCTCTCACCTGTCGTCGAATCAATTCCAAACTTTCTTTGGCATTGGCTACTTGTCGATCGATTTCTTTGAAATCATTTATCATCTTGTTGGCACGAAATGTGTCACGTATTTTCCGCATAGCATACATTCTGTTAAAATGAAAATTTAGACAGTTGTCATAATTGAGATGTTATGTTATGCTATTTCACAATTCACACACGCACCTGAAGTTGTAGGAAGGCAGCTTTTCGGATTCACGCAATAAATTCCGATATAATGTAATGGCCTGGCGACGTGTCGACATCTTTGCGTTCGTTGTGTGTGGAATAGCAGACAAAATATACTCTATTGTATTGACTTTAATTGATAATAGCCGTGTTGATTATTTTGGTTAAACCGTATAATTTGGTGATGTTAACAAATAAAGAGTAAAGTAACGATTATATCGATTATTTACTGCACCAATAAACGACACAAAAAATCACAGGTATCGGTATGAATATCTTATCGATATATAGTACCCATCGCAAACATGGCGACTGCCTCTACGATACTACCCTCTCTCATCACTAATCAGTCAAGAGCAAACGAGCATTTTTGTACGCGTTTATTTTTTCATCACTTATTTTCGTTGCTCTTCACAGTAAAACCACAATATGGATGTGCGTCCAAATCAAACCATTTACATAAATAATCTGAATGAGAAGATTAAAAAGGAGGAGCTTAAGAAGTCGCTCTACGCCATCTTCTCACAGTTCGGCCAGATACTCGATATTGTGGCGTTGAAAACATTGAAAATGCGAGGGCAGGCATTTGTCATATTTAAGGAAATTGGCAGTGCCTCTAATGCGCTGCGTACTATGCAGGGCTTTCCATTCTACGACAAACCCATGCGCATTGCCTACTCCAAGTCCGATTCGGATATTGTGGCCAAATTGAAGGGCACCTACAAGGAGCGACCAAAGAAGGTGAAGCCGCCAAAGCCGGTACCGGGTGTCGAGGAGAAAAAGTATGTATTAATTATATGAATTACGCTCAGATTGGGAATCACTAATGATCATATTGCATTTTGAATTCAAACAGGGACAAGAAGAAGAAGCAGACCAGTGCAGAGAATGCAAATCCGAATACACAAACAGAGCAGCCACCAAATCAAATTCTGTTCCTCACCAATCTGCCGGAGGAGACCAACGAAATGATGCTCTCCATGCTGTTCAATCAATTCCCCGGCTTCAAGGAGGTGCGCCTGGTGCCCAACCGGCACGACATCGCCTTTGTCGAGTTCACCACCGAGCTGCAGAGCAACGCAGCCAAAGAGGCGCTCCAGGGCTTCAAAATAACTCCCACGCACGCGATGAAAATTACTTTTGCCAAAAAGTAGACGCAGTACAGATTTCCTCAATATATACACAAATATATGTGTATATATATAATTGTAGGAGAGTCGGGGCTTTTTTTTTTAATAATTAAATGCTTCTAATTTAAAATAAATATAAATATACTTAGCATAAATGAAACACACAATGATGAATAAATGTGGCAACAAATCAGGTTTAATGGTGATTGACAATTTAGAGGGCAGAGTGTGCTACGGGGAACAGCTCCAGTATTAGCTTGTGTCTTGTAGTGTAGTGTAGAGTAGGTAGTATATGCGTCATTTAACAGTTTCGATCTTTTATTTTTTGCATTAAGTAACGTTTGTGTTGATCAGTATACTGCTCGCTTCACATTGTACTGGCATTAGTTCCCATTTGCATGGAGTTGCTCGATCATTAGTATTACATAAATATATACGGTGGTCCGGTGGCAGTGTGTTAGTGGTCTCTACTGATTTTCTATGATAGAGGGAGCAACTAATTCTCCAGGATGCTGCTCTTGTCCATAGCACCCTGAGCACATGGCGTTATGTCGTGTGGATCGTCCATATCCTCGCCGAGATCACACACGGTACTGGCGCTGGCAATGCTCTCCGAGCAGATACTCAGCTGCTGCTGTAGATGGGAATCCTCGTCGAAGGACTCGTCGGCATCGCCCACAAACTTCTCCATCGATTTGGTCAACTTATCCGAGTTGCCGCCCACAAATACCTCCAGCACTTCGCCGCTCTTGATGAACACGAATGTGGGCATGCTGGTTATATTGTACTCGATGGTTATCTCCTCGTTGTCATCGACATTCACTTTCAGCACGACCGCTCGCTCGGCATACTGGGCGGCCAGCTCCTCCAGCTTGGGTGCAATGATCTTGCAGGGGCCGCACCAATTAGCGCAAAAGTCGATGACAATCAGCTTGTCGCCGGCATCGGACAATTGCCGCTCGAAGTCCTCTTTGCTTTGCACGACATGCACCATGGCTGAAAATCCCTTTTTTTTTATATACTGTTGTTGTGTATGTGTGTTTTTTTTTTTTTTTTGGTATGTGTTTACTTGAATTTCGAAAAGGAATTGACAACAATTTGTGCGTGCTCACACAAATGTATTTGTTGTATCAGCCTCCTCAGAGGCTGAAATTAAATATGGTTTTCATTTTCAAATAGCTGTCAACAGCAACGGTGCGTACTAATCGTTAATCGCCAATCGATAATGGTTGCTTATTTGTGCAAAAGCTGGCAACGCTTAAATGCTGGATAAGTACCGTTTGCTCATTTGAATGTGTGGGTGTGAGTTTTGCATAAAAGCGCGGGAAAGATTCACATACATACATATGTATATGTGTAGCTTTCCAGGCAAAGCGCAGCGCTTATAGCAATGGCTTCGCTGCATTTAGTATTCCACTTCTGCTCGCCAGATCGAGTCAAGTTTTTTTTGTCTTTGGGTTTAATCCATCATTTAATTCTCAAAATGTCCGCCATTCGCAACATGAATGAGTTCTACAAACGCCTGGACGCGTCGGACCGTAAGTTGGTCGTACTTGACTTTTATGCCACTTGGTGCGGCCCGTGCCAGGAAATGGACAGCGTGGTAAAATCGCTGGCCCGTAAATATGGCAGCCGGGTGGACATCATGAAAATAAATGTGGATCGATTCGAGGAGCTAATGGATATGTACAATGTGCGCAGCATGCCAACATTTGTGTTCATCAAGAATAATCGCAAGATGAGCCGCATGACTGGCGCCGACGAACATAAGCTGAAGCAAATGATTTACAAACTCTGCGACTAAAGTGCGAGAAGGAGAGTGAGAGGGACAGAGAGGGCGAGCGGTGAACGACGCAGGCGTCGCCATTTTGTCTAGAAAGCTAGAGCTGCGCAATCTCTTTATTATATGTATGCATGTATATGTAAGATGTAACTTTGTAATACGTGATTTGTAATTGTCAGCCATTTTTATGTGATTTTGCATGCTCGAACATAACCTCAAATACGGACTTGATATAATTTTAATACAGATGTAATAGCTTTTTAAGGTTAAGCACGACTGAATGTTCAATAAATCAAGCTAAATGTGATTTAGTCATAACCAGATCGCAGCAACCCGTTTGTTTTTTATTTTAAGGCTTGAATCTACTACGGCAGGGAGACATTCCATAAAATCATTTTCGTCCCAGTAATATTCAACAAACAATTTTTTTTTATTTTTAGGTAGCGTACAAAATTTTCAAGTGCAACAAAAAGCGAAAAAAAAGTCTTTTCGTCCTAATTGTCGCGATATATATATATATACACACATTAACAATCATATCCAAATACCCACGCACGCATCTAAATACTGCATACATACATAGATAAATACATACATACAATTCACTACATTCCAATTTGGTAAATCGAAATTTCTGCGTCGTTGATCGCATCAAGTGGCAGAGTGGGCCAATCGATTGCGTAAGAGAAGGAAGAGAGAGGGAGAGAGAAGATGTCGTATCAAATCAAGCGCACGCCCTACTTCCGTCGCATGTTCAACAACAGCCGTCGCAACGGGCAACTGCAGCGGCTGCGGGAGGAGTATGAGCGCATCCAGGAGTTCAACGATCGCACCATCGAGCTGAAAATGCGCCAGGTGCGGCTGAAGCGTCTGTTTCGTGAAATCGACGACATCAATGAGTCGCCGAGCACGTCGGCTGCCCAGCAGCGTCGTCTAGCGGCGCTAGTGCCGCCGACGCCGGAGGCGATGCAGGCGCAGCAGCGGCGCGAGCGCCTCGATGCGCTGGAGCGTGCCCGCGAGCTGGGCCAGGAAATCTCGCGGCACAACGCCCAATTGGTGGAGAGCGGCGCTGGCTACTTTTTGCGCAGCGAACTGCGGCTGACGTCGAAAGTGCGAGCGGCGGACGAGGCGCGACGCCAGGCACAGGAGCGGCGACTGCGGGCCGCGCGTCGCATCAGCTACGGCAATGCTCAGTCCCGTTCGAATATCGAACGGATCACGCAGCGGCAGCAGCGGCGCATGGTCACTAACGATTCGCCGGCCACATCGGTGATGATCGATTCCAGGCACCAGGTGGCACAGCTGCCAATGCAGCCGTCCTCCAGCCGCAGTCAATTGCATCCGGATCTGGTAAAGCGGGCCATGCTGCGGCAGCGTCTGCAATATGGCAACTCTCGCTCCACCAACAACATGATGCGCAGCCAGTTGGCAGCGGCGCAGCGTGTGATGGGCTTTATCTCGGGAACGGACACGGTCACCGAGGATCTCGAGCAAATGGAAATCCAGCGACGGCACGAACAGGAGCTCCAGCTGCAGCAGCAGCGCAAGATGCGGCGCATCGATCCGCAGCAATTGCAACTGCAGCAGCAGCACCAGCAGCAGCTGCGCCAGCATATGTATATGCATCAGCTGGAGCAGGATCAGCAGCAGCAGCAGCAGCAGCAGCAGCAACAGCAAGAGCAAGACGAACAGCTGCAAGAGCGGCCAGAGGAACAACAGCTGACGAACCAGTCATTGAGCATTCTGGAGCTATCGTCCAGTGTCAGTGGCTGCATCGCTGACAACACCAACAACCTGATCAACAATCACTTGATGAGCATCAAGAACAACGATATAAATGATTGCAACAAGGACAGCGCCATTAATATTAACAGCAGCAGCAACAACAATATACTGAACAGCAGCAGCCACTGCAAAGAGCTCAACAACATGGACTCTGAGCTGGAGATGCACACGGCCATGCTGCCGCCCACAGAGCTGGAGTCTGTGCAGCTATTGGACCAGCATGGCGACAACAAGCACAACATTGGCAACGGGAATGGCATGGGCAACAGCAACAACGATGATGTGCCAACAACAAGCCAGCATGCGCACAGATCTGTGGATGCAACCACAACTGTTGCCGCCTATCAGCCGCCACTGGCCGATAATGGAGCGACATTGAATCATGAAGCGCGACGCTGGCATCGCATCTCATTGATGGTGCCCTGGATCAAGGTGTTGCACGAGCGTCCCAGCCAAGTGGCAACGGTGTTGCCGCCGCACAATCTGACCATTGCCATTAGCACTGATCTGGACACTCTTCGCAATGATGATAACTATAACAACAACAACAACAACAACGATGTGAATAATACTAATGCCATCAGCAATAACCCCATCGATCAAGATAATAGTATTAGCAATATTAGCTCAGCATTGGCAGTGCCCGACAGTGATAACTTCGAGAGTGTCTGCGGACCATCGTTAATGCAAGAGGACTTGATAGAGATCATGGAACTGGACGATGACGGCCATGTGCCTACAATGCATGTGATGCATAGCGCATTCAAGTAATTTCAAATCCCCAGTAATACATCTATACCCCGCCCGAAAATAAACAAAAAGCAACAAAAAAGAACAAGCAAATTCAACAAAATTCAACAGTTCCATCAACTAATACCATTCGCTAGTTCCAATCATTTGGTGGATTGATAAAGTAAGTGCTAAATTATCAATCTGCATTGCGTTTACCTCCATTCCATATCTCATTGATGTTTGTGCCAATTAACCCATCTCTAATGGAAGCTTTTGTACCTAGCGCCCTTTTCTAAGCGAAGCTTTCATCTCTAGCTAACTGTTCGGCTGGTTGCTTCATTTCTCATTCTTGTTCCATCTCTAATTTACATGTTTGCATTGCACATTTCCATCTCAAATGGAAGCTTCTTCCAGTTAATCCAGTTGTCTGGAAAGTAATTTATTTCCATGACTTTAGGTCAAAGCCCCAACAAAACCGTTTTCTAATTAAATCCTCTTACTTTCAGGCATTCAAATGAACGTAACCGAATGGATCTTATCCCAAAAGATCCGTAATCTACCAAATGGGATGATAAACGGCGATAAACGAGTTATTTTTGTATGGCATACTTCTGGATTTCTTAAGATATCAATATATCTATATATATTTACATATATACCAACATACATAGATATACGTATATGTGCCTGACGTGCATGCCCAACTGCATTTTCTTAGCAGGCACACATAGTTCCTGTTCCCACAAAAAGAACGAGATGCCTCATTGGCTCCGCGGATACTTTGGTTATCCATAGATGGTATACATATATGTATATGTACATATATATGTTTGTTTACTGTTTAGTTTTCTTTTGGTAATCACATATATTTATATGTATGCATATATGCCTATGCATCATCTTTTTTGTTGTCGCCCACTGGAGAATGTTATAGCGCTCCCTAAGCGCCTCGTATAACGCCTACGCCCTGAAAAAGAAAATCGAATCAACGAGCAATAGACGATAATATGCAGAAAATTATTTGCAACAAGACATAATACGGAATACGCACGTATAGCCTATATATATATACTATATAGACTTTGTATACGTGCATGTAGATGCGGTCTCCCACTCTCTATATACACACATATATATATATATACATACATATATACAATTCGATCCATTTGCTTTCAGTTGTATAAGTTAAGAATCTCACATTTATTTGTAAAATAAATTAAAAGTAGAAGCCAAATCTCGAAATAAACCCAACATAAGTAAATTAAAAAGTACTTCAGTTCTCTTTTATTGGTTAAGAATGGAGATTATGTATATAAAAATGTATTTTAACTTAAATTTAAGTACAGCTCATATATATTCATTATATAATCGCTTCACAAATGTATCAAGCATGCAAGTTTGTCACTTTAAAAACTTATTCCATAGGCTGTTAAAAACTTGTGTAATTCTGAACTCGTGCTCGGATTAGAATTGAGCAGATTTCGAGCTCATTTTGAAATTAAACTGAGGGCTTATCTGAATCCTTGGCTTCATTGTTATTGGATTGATCCACGCATTTATGTTTGTCGTCTTTTTCCTTCTCGTTAGATTCATCGATTACCTTACGCCAGCTCAACTCCTCGCACTTGTATTTGGAGAGCCACTCGGCCAAGGCCTTCTGGAGGTCCTGACGAAACGGATTGGGCATGTTCGGCATCTCGAACTGATGAAAGAATGTTGGCGCATAGATGATACTATCGAACTGTTCCTCGAATTCCTCCGTGGACTGGAACACGTCTGTCTCCAACATGTCAAAGCTGCAAGAGAGAGTGAGAGAGTGGGAATCAATGTACTAACATTAGGATGGGCAACGTACGTGGGAAGGCGCTCGCGTAAATAACGCAAACGACGACCGCAATTTTCGTCACGCGATTCGGCGCTATAATTGTAACTGCGTCCGGCCAGCTGGGCCTCGATCAATATGTCGCTAATGGTTGTATTGCCGCTGAATATATTGACGAATAAAATGCAATCGCCATGATCGATATCCTTGATGGTGGCATGCAACAGTTCGTTATGGACAAGCTCACGGAACTTTAATGTAGTAGCTGTTGGCCAGTGGAGATCCAGAGGAAATACATCGGTCAAAGTGCCGCGCATCAGTAGCGGCGGATGTTCAGCAAAACGGATATGCATAAAATACAAATCCATGTGGCACACCTCCAAAACCTTGCCATAGTCGAGTAAATAGACTTTAACGGCACTATCAGTCGTCTCCGGTTCACGGATGATGCGTCCACGACGCCAGGTGAACTCATTGTATACGGCGCAAAGAAAGCCGCGCTTAAGGAAGTATTTGGGCAGTTGCCAAGTGGCGCGACGAAGTGGATTATAAAACTTGCTGCATATAGAGAGGGGGAAATATAACAAAAATTAGTTAAGAGTAGTAGCAGAGAATGAATTTGAGCCAAGGTCTTGATTGATTACGTTAACTGTGAAGTTAGGTGGTTCAGCAAATTTAAATCATAAGGCCCCTCAGCCACATGAAACCAGAACTGAAAGGGGCTATAGGCCTGAAAGAGACATGAATAAATATGAGAAGGGATTCAAAGAGAATAACTTTAACCTTAGCCTAAGCTTTTATAAATATCTATTGATCTATGTTGAAGATAACATTAAAGTTTTGAATATTTTTCATTACCTCGATTACATATATCTTGAGCATGTCGCCCTCCTTAAAGTTATTCCATATTTGGGGTTTGGACAAGTCAGTGCCAAGGCCAATGGCTTGGCTGGGTTTGTCCACGTTGTAGACTTCATCAGTCTAGGGTTACAGAAAAGAGGGAAGGGAATATACTAGTTGTTCTTCACGAGCTACTTAATAATGTCATACCACTGCAAAACTTGGCACTGCCGCACGCGACTCCACAAGATGCATAAAATTATTCATTTGGATCTCCGCGCTCAGCTTTTCAGAGTTGTTTACATCTTCTTGTTCTTCTTTCGGCTTTGCACCCATTTCATTGGCACGAAAGGGATTAGTGTCGCCTGTCATCTCCTCCTCTTCATCACTGTCCATTGGCCAGCGAGTCATCGAAGGCGTCTTTGGTTCTTCTTCCTCCATATCGGTTTCATTATTTTCTTCATCCGATTCTTCCTCTCCCTCTTCTCCCTCTTCTTCGGCTTCTTCTTCGGTTTCTTCTTCGCCTTCCTCTTCGCCTTCCTCTTCGGCTTCTTCTTCGCCTTCCTCTTCGACTTCTTCAAGTTCTTCCTCTGCTTCTACCAATTCGTGATCTGTCTCCTCACTTTGTATATCTGTTTCAGATGGCATTACTATTGGCATCACGGTGCTGCTATCTAGGTTGCTCAACCATGCCTGCAGACGATTGTAAGCGCTACTTGGAAACGGGAATGATACATTTGCGCTCAGATTTTCATCTTCGTCTTTGCTACTTCCTTCAGATGCGTCGTCACTGCTGCTCATTACGCTCACTTCAATCGTTCCTACTTGTCCTGAAGTTCCAGCCGTATTCACATCCTGACCTACGGTTTTGTAGATTTGGTCAGCGGCTTTTAGCTGACGAGCTAGCACAGCGGCACTAATAAGGTCATTTTCGGGAATCTGCAATTTATATACATATACACAAATATATATATATTTAATAATATATAATAATAAATATAATTACGTACATATACATAAATTAAATTGTATGTATTATTTTATTTGTATAAGAGCAAACCAAATATGAGGCTATGTTGCAAGTGCTACATATTACACATTCAAAAGATAACGGAATTTTAATTACGTATAAATATGCCAATATAGCTTACCACAACGTCATATGATGCCTGTTTAGAAAATTCATTTCTACGAATAATAATTTTCGATTCCTTCGAGGCTGCATGCTTCATTTGGTCTTTAGTACCACTAGATTCACCCATATTTAAATCGGTATCACTATCTGCTTCAGAAGACATAATTAAATTTTTTTATTCCACTGAGTGCTTTCTTAGCAAGGCGCGCACGTTCAGAACAAGCAAAAATAACTGTAAATGGCATAGCTTAAAATCAAAAAGGGTGGCAGCACGACAAATTCTACTTTCAATTGGCCAGATGGTAACATTGGTTATGAAACTGATCGATTAACTAAAATTAGAGTGAATTTTTATTGACTTTTGCAATGTAACTTTTATCAACTGGCAAAAATAGTGACTGGTCGCTATTTATCGATAGCTGTGCTGTAAAATAGCTGTGACTATCGTGATGTTCTAAAACTCACATACGAGTGACCTGTCTTTGCTCATCTCTACAGCGGACATTTGTTTACGGCACGTGTTGGTGGCAAAAAACAGTCAAAAAAAAAAAAAAAATATCGAAGAAAATGGATAGCGAGGCAGATGACTATGAGCCCACCGACTCTGAACAGGAGTACGATGAAGATGAGCGTGAAATATTGAATGATCTGCGTAAAGAACGAAAGAAGAAGGCAGACCAACTAAAAAATCAAAAACTAGATGTTCTGTCGTTCAGTGATAGCGACGATCATGAAGAGGATGAGGATGTTGTGGGTAATCTAATGCGTGACAGCGACATTGAAGGGGCCGAGGATGACGATGGCGATCTGCCGGATACCATGGACTGGGGCACCAACAAGAAAGTCTACTACAATACAGATTTCGTGGATCCCGATTACAGCAGTTACACAGCCCAAGAGGAGGACATGGCCAAGGCCGAGGAGGAGGAGGCCAAAAAGATACAGCTGCGTTTGGCCAAGCAATTAACGGAGTCCGATTTCAAGCTAGACGACGTGGTGGTGCCAGTCGACGATAAGAGTAAAGACGTTACCGTAAAGAGTATCACGGTGACCAGAGATCTGAAAGGTCTAACGGAACGCGAGCGTTTGCAACTGCTGCAAAAGGACTCGCCTGAGTTCATTGGCCTCACACAAGATTTTCAGCAACATCTGAGCGAAGTGAAACAGCTGACGGCGCCAGTTCTGAATTATGTGCGCAATCATCGGGTGGCCATGGTGCCGGCCCTGCAGTTCGCCCTTCTGTATCAGAATGTTCTGCTCACGCATTGCTCAAACGTCTCGTTCTACCTGCTTATGAAGGCCAAACGCAGCAGCATCAAATACCATCCGGTGGTCAAGCGGCTGGTGCAGCTCAAGCAGCTTCGCGAACAGTTGGCGGCACGCTACGAGGAGTATATACGACCCCAGCTAGAGGCGCTGCTGGAGCGCATACGGGACGGCGATGCGTTCACCGTGCTGGATCCAGAACAGCGCAAGGCCAAGCTGCCAACAGTCAGCAAATACAATGGCACAGGGACAACAAATGCCAGCAATGACAAGGAGGCGCATGACGAGGACAATACTGATGCTGAAAATGATACTGACGATGCTGATGCTCTTGATGATGATGATGATGAATATATGGATAAGGAGGAGCGGATGCTGGAGAAGGCGCTTCAGGAAGAGAACGAGCGGCGCGGCATTACATATCAAATGGCCAAGAACAAGGGCCTCACGCCGGCTCGCAAAAAGGAGCTGCGCAATCCGCGCGTCAAGCATCGCGGCAAATACCGCAAGGCGCTCATCCGCCGTAAGGGAGCTGTGCGCAGCGTACGCAAGGAAACCAAAAGATACGGCGGCGAAATATCTGGCATCAAGGCCACCGTCACCAAGAGTATCAAATTCAAAACGTAATCCACTACTCATCCTTAGGCTATGTACAACAAAAAAATATATTCAAATTTTGTTCCATCACTCGATACAAATGCTTTTGTTATGTTCATCAAATTTATTCAATTAGTTCACAAAAGGTCGCCAGTTGCATTACATAACACGAATGTATACATGTACATATATATATATATATATGTATGCTATCAATTATATATTGATATCTATGTACAATTTTATTATTTAAGTCTAATTGCCAAATTGTAAATTTGTTTTCCGTTTTCCATAGTTAACCAAAAATATGTATGTATATGGGGAACAGCATGCACCGCAGCTGCTTCATGTGTTCTGCTTCAGGTTTATCGTTTTCATTTTTGTTTTGGGGGATTCTCAGGCATCGCGTTATAGCTAACTTATCATACTATAAAAAACATCAATTGCTTATGTTAAGCTTAAATATTAAAGAGCTTGCGAAAGTCATCGTTGCTCTTTGGGCCAGTCGACACTGATGCTGTCGGCGGCTGCTCCGCCGTCTCCTTGCCACTGTCATTGACATTCCCATTATCATTGCCATTGGCATTGGCATTGGAATTGGAATTGTTGGTATTGTTGCCATTGGCCGCATCGTTTGTACTGCTAACCGCTGCATCGTCGTCCAGTTCGAGCTTCTTGCGACGCTTCACCTCAGTGATGATGAAGCGTGTGGGTATCAGCGATGTTTGATGACGACGTTTCACTGTCTGCCTTTTATCACCGGCAGCTCCGACTGCTGACGCGCCCGAGGATGTAGACGGTCCTTTGGGTAGCTTCGGTGGCGGATTGGAAATGGCAACGTCAATCTAAATAAATTCAAATAAACATATGTTCTTTAAGCTCTTAATATATATTTATATATGTTAGGTCTTACGATTTGGCCGCCAATGTCAATGCCATTGCTGCCGATGACCGCATTTTGCGCTTCCTGCTCCTTCTCGAACTCAATGTAGGCAATGCCCTTGAATTTTTGATTGCTGCTAGAATGGAAGCACATTTAGGATATTTTAGTTTGTAAATCTCAACTTCACTTACGGTCGGTAGACCAGGCGCACATCCTTGATGACGCCAAAACTTTCGAATGCACTGATTAAATCCTCTTTGGTACATTGCGGATATAGATTTTTTATAAATATCTTATTCTTTTCCATATTTGCTGTAAGAGAGCGAGGGAAAGAGAGAGAGATGGATACAGTGTGAGCATTAAATATATATGAGGGCATTTTGTGAATTTATAAAACTTACATGAATACTTAAAATTAGATTCTTTTGCCTCTTTTGCCTGGGAGCTTGATGGCATTGTTTTCTTGGCAGCCGGCAACGGCTTCTTGGACGATTTGATGGGCGGCTTCCTTTCCGGCTTTTGGTATGCTGGCATTCGTCTAGTATTGCCCTGTCGCCAGGCTGATTGATGCCCGTAGCTGCCCGCTTGTTCCATGTACGCCTCGCAGTATTTCTGGCACTCGGCTATTGACTCATAGTTGCCAAAGCAGCGCTCGTGGCGACGATAAAATTCGACTATAATCTGCACTTCTGGTGACATAGAGAGCGCCTCCAAGGCCTGCCTGAGCACAATGGACACTTTTTGGCTCTTATTATATTGGATCTCCATTTGGGCATATGCGAGCCACAGATGCGCCTTGACACTGCTGCCCGGATAGCCTATGAGCACATCGATTGTAATGTTAATTTGATATCAATAGATATTTCATCGATTGCATCCAACTCACTGAAAATCTCACACCAGATGTCAGCTCCTTTATCGGGAGATTTTAGCTTCGCGTACTCCACCTGAGCCCAAAGCTGCAGCACCTCGAAGCAGGTGTCTGCCAGGTCGCCGTAGAGTTCAGACAAACGATCCCACACCTCGCGAAAGGCATTTCGCAACTGCTTGACCTGCGGAGCATTCGATTAAATACATAGTTCACAAAAATATATTTTGTTATATTGATAGGCACCTCCTCCTCGTTGTTGACATCGGTGTGACGCACGCGGTAGGCCAAGTAGTCTAGCTGCAGCTCCACGTTCATTTCCATATGCGGCTCGAGACGTTTCAGCTGGCGCTTAATCTCCGACTCCACTTGCTCCGTACTGAGAATGCTTTGCTCCAAAAGCTCCAAATACTTGTGATTGATCGCAATTGTTGGCTTTATCTGCAGCACACGGCTAATCAGCTCCATGGGCTTGCACTTTAAATAGCCATCGCATATGGCTGTATGGAACAGATCTTCCGATTCCGGCTCTTTGGGCTTCTCCATATAGGCTATATAGTCCAGCCACAAACGACTGTCAGTGGGATATTTGGCGAGGCAACGCTCGTATATCAATTTGGTCAGGGTGCATTTCATATTTGTGCTGAGCGACAAAGTTTCGGCCCTTAGCAGATAGCTTTCCTGCAGCCAGGACGAATTCTCTGCATTACTTTTTAACTTCTGTTTGAACTCGTCAATCAGCTTTGCAATCGGCTCCATTTGATCCTGGTCGTAATGCCAGGTCACGCAATTGGCGCTCAATGTTTGCTCAATCATTTCAATGTTGTCTTCATCCAGAGATGCAACCAATCTGCGTGCTTCTTCAACGAAATCGAAGCGTTCTAAGCCATAATCTGCCAGAATCTTTGACCACATCTGCAGATGATCAGCGAGTGGCTGCTCCATCAAGCTTTTGACAACAAATTCAGCCAGTTGGTCATCTGATTCATATGGAGTAGAGTAGGAGGTTGTTTATTTAACCTACTACCGCACATCTTTGACTTACCATAGAAGCTGGCCAAAGCCAGACTGCATTTTGTCTTAAAGATCTCCCACTCTGCCGGAGTTTGGGTGACCACCTTCAGAGCCTTGAGATAACGAAGCCATATATGCGGCGGCACAGTTGTGAATGCCTGGAACTCATTAATGGCCACTTCAATCTTCTCAAAGACATTCAATTTGCTGCAGGCGAGAGCACAGTTTAGCTAGCATATAATAATGATATGATGTAAATGGGAGCTTACAAGGCCGTGGTACACAAATCCATATAATGCCTATATTTCTTATTGGCTATGTCCAATATGGCCGAGAACTCATCCGCCAGCTTTTGGTCATCGTGCGAATCGCTGCTGTCGACCAGTGAGCTCAGGACACTTACTTCACTTTCAGAATCGGAGGGCGCTTCACAGTTGCTATTATCTTCTACGCTCGAATCTGAGCTTATTTCGATTGGCTGCTCGTTTACGATATTGTCGCCAGCTGAAGCTTTCCGCTGAAAATGAATCAAACAATTAATTTCAATAGTGACACTTACAATATTCCCTAGGCTTACATCAGCTCCACTGGACATTTTTTATTTAATATATTGTGTATTTGTACTGAACGAAATGAAGAAATGTTTTATTTGTTTTAGTTTTCAATGCAAAGCTAATTTTTTTGTTGTACTGAACGTGAACGCCAGCTAGAGATGTGTAACAAGCTGTTACTGACGTTTATCACCGTTGTGTGGTTAGTGCGTTTATACATGAGCTTCTATCGATATTTTAAAATGTTACAACTTCGAGAGCCAGTTTAAAAATGCAATACATTGCCATCAATCGCGATACTCAAAATGTCGAAAAATCATTATTCACTTCGATATACAGCTGATGCGTTGCAAATTTGTTGATTTGCAGTATTTTGTAGTTGTCCTTACATTATGGGTGGTTGACAGCACTGGCAAGATCGTGCACAAATGTCGGTTATCGATGAGTACTCTGTCTGCAGCCGTGAATTTTGCGCCCATGTTTCCCGCCAAAAATACATTTGCATTCGGCGTGCGACGGCAATTGCGTTTGCGAATCGTCTGCTTGTTATTCATTGTTAAAATATTGTTTGAAAATGGCACATGACGCGGAACAGTACATAAAAGATATACAGCGCGAATATGTGGATTTTCTGGACGACGAAGAGGATCAGGGCATCTATGCCGGTCATGTTAAGGACATGATTGCTGAGAAGAGCAAACGTCTGATCGTGAACATCAACGATCTAAAGCGCAAGAACCAACAGCGCGCATTGGGGCTGCTAAACAACGCCTCCGACGAGCAGCTGGCATTTGGGCGGGCACTCAAGGAATATGTCTCGACTGTGGATCCCAGCTATGCCAAGCAGCACGAAGACTTTTTCGTGGGCTTCGAGGGCTGCTTTGGCAATCGTCATGTTACGCCTCGCTCCCTCACGTCCGTCTACTTGGGCAATCTGGTTTGTGTGGAGGGCATTGTCACAAAGGTCTCCCTTATACATCCGAAGGTGGTACGCAGCGTCCACTATTGTCCAGTCACACGGAAGGTGCTCGAGCGTAAATACACAGATCTCACCTCGTTCGAGGCGGTGCCCTCGAGCGCCGTCTATCCCACAAAGGACGACGATGGTAATCTGCTGGAAACGGAGTTCGGTCTGTCTGTCTATAAGGATCATCAGACGCTAACCATACAGGAGATGCCAGAGAAGGCGCCAGCCGGCCAATTGCCACGCTCTGTGGACATCGTTTGTGATGATGATTTGGTGGACCGCTGCAAACCCGGCGATCGCGTTCAGATCGTTGGCAACTACCGCTGCCTGCCGGGCAAACATGGCGGCTACACCTCGGGCACCTTCCGCACCGTCCTGCTGGCCAACAACATATCGCTGTTGAGCAAGGAGAGCAATCTGGACATCTCCCGTGAGGACATTATGCTTTGCAAGAAGCTGGCCAAGAACAATGACATCTTCGAGCTGCTCAGCAAGAGTCTGGCGCCCTCCATACACGGCCACACGTTCGTCAAGCAGGCCATTCTCTGCCTGCTGCTCGGCGGCGTCGAGAAGGTGCTGCCCAATGGCACACGACTGCGTGGCGACATCAATATCCTGCTCATCGGTGATCCCTCGGTGGCGAAGTCGCAGCTGCTGCGCTATGTGCTCAATACGGCACCGCGTGCCATTCCAACCACTGGACGCGGCTCCAGCGGCGTTGGTTTAACGGCAGCGGTGACCACGGATCAGGAGACGGGCGAGAGACGCTTGGAGGCGGGCGCCATGGTGCTCGCCGATCGAGGCGTTGTGTGCATCGATGAATTCGACAAGATGAGCGACATCGATCGCACAGCCATACACGAGGTAATGGAACAAGGTCGCGTCACCATCTCAAAGGCCGGCATCCATGCCTCGCTCAATGCGCGCTGCTCGGTGCTGGCGGCCGCCAATCCGGTCTACGGGCGTGTAAGTATACCTCAAGAGGATAACCATATGAGGGTTACATTTCATCCATCCAAATCCCATTGCAGTATGATCAGTACAAAACGCCCATGGAGAACATTGGATTGCAGGACTCGTTGCTGTCCCGTTTCGATCTGCTGTTCGTCATGCTGGATGTTATTGACAGCGATGTGGATCAAATGATATCCGATCATGTGGTCCGCATGCATCGCTATCGCAACCCGAAGGAGGCTGACGGCGAGCCCCTCACCATGGGCAGCTCCTATGCCGATTCACTGGCCTTTGTCTCCAACACGGAGCAGGTAAGAGCAGCATCCGCCACTCTCATTGTCGAACAACAGTTCACATAAGCGCCTCTTGCAGAAGAAGGAAACGGAGCTGTATGAGAAATATGATGCATTGTTGCACGGCAAGTCCAGGAAGCGCCATGAGAAGATCTTGTCCGTGGAGTTTATGCGCAAATACATTCACATTGCCAAGTGCATGAAACCCAAGCTGACGGAGCAGGCGTGTGAGGCGATTGCCAATGAATACTCGCGTCTGCGCTCCCAGGAGGCTGTCGAATCGGATGTGGCACGCACACAGCCGATCACGGCGCGTACGCTGGAGACATTGATTCGTTTGTCCACGGCGCATGCGCGCGCTCGCATGTCCAAGACGGTGACCATGGAGGATGCCCATGCGGCCATTGAGCTGGTGCAGTACGCCTACTTCAAGAAGGTCCTGGAGAAGGAGCGCGCCAGCAAGCGACGTCGCAATGGCAACGGCTCCTCCGACGAGGAGGAGGAGGAGGAGAATACTCCTGCTGCTGCAAATACAACAACACCCTCCCGTCGCCCCAAACGCACACGCACCGAGCCCGATCCAACCATCGACAGCGACGAGGAGATTGAGCCACCCCAGCCGGATGCTGGCGATTTGACGCGTCGCGAGACCCGTCGCTCCTTGCCATCACGCCAACAGAGCGAAACCACTGGCACAGAGTCGGCTAGCCAGGCCAGCTCGGAGCCCACAACAGTCACGCCCGCCAGCATCAGCGATGCTCGGCTTGGCGTCTTCAAGAACAGCCTGCAGCGTCTGTTCCGCGAGGCACGCGAGCAGAGCCTCACGCTGCAGCGCATCACGACGGCGATCAATGAGAACAACGCGGAGCCCTTCACGGCCGGCGAGGTGGATGCGGCCATGCACCGGATGACCGAGGACAACCAGATAATGCTCGCTGACGACATTGTCTTTCTTATCTAACCATCAGCTATATCTATATATGTATGTTTATATATATATATCGAATGTATTTACATTATTTCCAACAATCATCATTCATCTCGTTCTCCTTTGCAGCACGTACAAATTCTCCATGTCTAGCGATTAAGTTTTTTATATCATCATTTTTTTTGTTTGTTCATTCCATATTCAAAATAAAAAGTTGGCGCTCTTGTAAACAAATTCATTTAAATCAATTGCCTTAACTATTTATTTTTTCCATTTTGCTGATTGCTCGTCTGATAAGATTTGACTATCTCTCCAGTTGGGCACTTGAAGTGGTAGCGGTTTGATTCCAATTAGAACTATAGTTTTGCAATGAACAGACTGAAGCTTAACATAAATATTCCAATCAGAACTATGCTGATTCGAATTGGAACTCCTGCTGGAAACTCTGAAATCGAATGAAGCGCAAATGTTTCGAACTAAAATGGTTAAAACGGTTATGTTAAAACTCATATTTAATAATACTTCACAAACATCGATATATGTATATACATACACATGTTCATACATGCATACATACATATATATATATATAGATATTGGACATTAATATCAATAGTGTATTTTACATTAATAGGAATAATTTGTGAACATGAGATAATGTGACTAAATCGTTGCAAATCGTTGCTTTGCTAACGGCAATTACAACATATACATATGTATGTTTGTGTATATATATATACAATTTGAAAGTTACTCTTCAATTTCAGTTTCGGCTTGGAAAACATTTGTGGATATGATTAGTTTGTACACAAATTCAATTTACTTAGGCGCTACATTGGGATTTAAGGAGAGGAATCAATAAGAAACAAGAGACGCACATATACACATATCGAGATAATCAAATATATATATATCTATAGCTTTTACAGTGGTGCCTATATCTCTCGTCGGAGAGTGTGTTGTCTCTTGCATATCATTTAACAATTTATAGCCTTAATTTAAACACATAAACATATTTAGAAAATATATAAGGTAGGGGAGTTGAGGGGAATTTGGATGCGGATGTGGATGTAGACGTGGGAGGGAACTTAGCTAATGCCTTGCACAAACGATCAAAGATTCACAACGTTCCTCAGATCGGATGGCAGCAACTCTTTCATGCATTCTATCTGCGCCCGAATCTGCCGCTGCGCGGTGTTGGAATTGCCCTCGAGCTGCGATTTGTCGCTGTAGAGATTCAGTTTCTGTTTTAATTTGAGTATCATATCAATTATTTCCACCTCCTGCTTGTCGTGCGCCCAGTGCTCCAGATTCGCCTCAGATAGCGCCTGCAGCTGCAGATCCTGCAGTGTGAGTTGCAGCTCTCGGTGCCGCGACTCGTACCAGCCACGGAAATTGGGCGATCGCACGAAGCGCCGATAGAGACCCTTCCAGTCGCCCTTCAGTGCGGAGGTCAACTGCGGTCCGGCTGCCTCGAGCGTGGCCAGAAAATCGTCCAGCTTGAAGGAGCTAGCATTCGGCGCCGACTTGAACGGACTGATGTCCTTTTGTAGCGGCATCAGCGAGGCCATATAGCGCTCCAGCGGTATCATAAAGCTCTGCGTCAGCTCCAGCAGATGTCGTCTAATCAACGCCGTCTGCACATGCTCCGGCCGCTTGGTCTTGATGCCCAGCAGCACCTTCTTGATCAGCGTCTTGTCCTTCTTCAAGAATGGCTTGTACTTGGTGTGCAGTCCAGCAGTCGAACTGTCCCCAGCAGCTGTGCCCAGGCTGCCATTCAGGATGTTGTGATTGGTGCCGCTGGGCTGGGCGGGCTTGGCGCTCGCACTGGGCGCGTTGCGCGTGTTCTTCTGCAGCTCTTGTTGCATGTTCTTCTGCAAGCGAACAGAGAGGTTAGAGAGTGGACTGCTAGGGAGTGGGGGGATGCAACTGACCTGATTATCCACCAGGCGCAGCATGTGCGGCCAATCCTTGAACAGCTTGACAAAGAACGGATTAGTCACACCCAGTATTACGGCTGGTATGGGCCGATTATTGCACTCTTGGGTGAACTCCTTGAACTCGCTGTCGTGTATGGTAAAGTAGGGCCGTGCCTCGGCACAGTATTCCAGCGGGGCTATCAAGGCAACCAGAGCCTGCACCATGTGTGAGCAGTCGGCTGGCGAGGTGCCCACCACAACAATTGGCTCCGATGTGATTACCAGCTCCCACAGCGTATACAAATGGTCGATGACATAGTTAAGGCTGTGGAACAGCTCCAGTTCGTTGACGGACGCCAGCACTTTGACGGATTTGGGCAGCTCCTCCGGCTGCTCATCGGTCAATGGCGGCGCCAATGCTGCTGCTGCTGCTGCTGCCGCAGCTAACTTGCGAGTGCTACTGCTGCTTGCCTTGGGTATGCATATATGGTAATTATAATCGAGTAGCGGCAGCTTCAGCGTCTGTCCGACCATCAGTGCTGGCCACTGTTTGTTGATTTGACTGCAGGCGCGATGCAACAGCTCGTTGCCCTCCTCGAAGTACTTGGGCGCCAGCTGGGCGAGCACGTCGTAGTAGAGATTGAAGAATGGCAGTCGCGTTATTATGATCAGACTCTTTTGAAAATAGCCGCGCGGCAGATTGGGATCGCGTTTCTGGCGGAAGTAGACAAAGCCCCAATAGTGGCTGGTATCGTAGCGCATGGCTGGCGCACAGTCTAAATTGTAGTTTTGCAAATTGGCGGGCATTTCATGTTTTGTATGCTGGAAAGCTCGCAGGCGCATATGGAACTTGGTGTCGCCCATACAGCCGGAGTTGGAGTCTGGGAAAGCCATGTAGCAAATGTTGCTTACTTCCTGATCGCTGGGCATGAATTCGGCGGGATAAACGTATTCGAGCGCCTGTCCCAGATTCAGGTCGAACGTAACAACACAAAAACAATGCACCCATTGCGATAGACGGATCCAATCATCTGGTAATTCGTTTGATACGCTTGTCGCATCGCCGTCCCCTGTCCCTTGGCGCCCATCGTTCGGGTATTGCCGTGGCCTGGCCTCTGTGTTCATAATTGGTTCAACTTGGCGAGTGTTGTTATTATTGTTTTACTGCATGAGGAGCTGCCTAGTTCTACTTTCACTTCCAATGTTAATGTTATTTATTTGTGCTTGGCTTGCCAGAGTTGCCATCTAATGTTTGCGATACTATTTTTATATATATATCGGACAGCAGTCTGACAGCTTTCACAACGAACGATAGCAAATGGAGTATCGATTACCCATTTGGTATCGAATCAGGATTTGAATTAATGTCCCGCCACAAAAAAAAAACTTTTCCCCTTATGCCATCCGCACGTTTGTTGCGACAAAAATTCTGGTCCCCAAACATATAAGAAAAAACTTATGCGGTTGAATCGTGTTCTGGGTATAGCCACGGTTCCTTGAGCGTCGTCATACCCAGATTCTAATATATTTTACAATTGTAAACATGTTATGTGATGTAAATGTAACAGCGCAAATCTATCACAGATATGGGTCCCAGCCATGAAATAGCATAGCCAAATTACTGGGCAAGGTTGCCTCGTTGATCAAACGCTGCACCTGCGCCTCCACATTCGAGTTTTCCAACATGCCCGGCTCGCGACCTTCCAGTTTATGTTTAACAAGTAGTAAGGCACGCTGCGCCAGTAGGTTCTTGGATTCCTCATCTGTCAATTAAGTAGTTATATTAAAATCTAGTACATTTTTGTATTTCATATATATTTTTTCTTACTCGACTCTTGTTGCCCATTGGATAGGACGCCCCAGATGAACAGCGGATCATAGAGCAGCACCTCCAGTATGGTGGTAAGTACAGATTTGTAACGTCTCAAAATATGCATGGTAGCCTCACAGGATTTGGTAAAAATGCCATTTGTTCCACAAATGCCCATCGGAGCGACGAAATCGCGTGTCAAACGGAATGGCACCGTTTCTGGCGTTAACTGAATCTTGCCCTGCTCAAATGCAATGCCTGTGTGAATTATACAACATACAAAATATGTTAGAGTTTATGAATGTCATCTAAAGTCGTACCGAAATCAATGTGCACCACTTCCGCCGTTTGCTCATCAATCAAAATGTTTTGTGTGTGGCGGTCGCCGAGGCCCAGGACATAGCCCACCATCGAGGTGATGGCCACGCTGTTCGTATAGGCCAAACGTCGCTCGAACCATTCGCCCGGTATGAGAAACTTCTCTAGTAGGAAATAATGAAAAACTGGCTTCACATGCTCACAAATAGTTTTGTAGATCTTAAGACGTTCCGCTGGCGGTTTCTTCGAGCCCGCCTACAAAAGTATAAAAGATAAATTCCACTAATCTTTAAGATAGATATATACATATACTATATACGTACCGCAGTCAGCTCGCGACATTTGCGATTGTTCCAGTCCTTGGGTCGATACTTCTTGTGCGCACCGCCAGTGCCGTCGCCAACCAGATAGGTGCCCACTGGAATCGTATTCTGGCACCACTCAATGATCCCGCTGCGGGTAGAGAGCGGCGTCACTTTGTAGGTGCGCAAATGCAGCTGACGCTCAGCGAACTCCGAGTCGCTGTTCAACAATTCATTGACAACGCCAAAGACCTGCTGCATGACCGCATCCTGACGCAGATCGTCCTTGCCCTTGATGAGCTGAGCACGCGTCTTACCATCCGAGCAGAGGGCCTGCAACTTAATGGGCGCATTCAGGCCGCCGCAGAGGGTGAACTCCTCCGACCATCTCCTTACGCCTGCAAATGATGAATTTCGTTTCATTTTATTCGACGATCAAAGGATCAATCTTCATCGCTTACTAATTATCTCATATCGCCGATCGGCTTGCACGGCCAGCTCCATTGTGGGGCAGTGTATGCGATCCATTTCAAGTTGGTTGAGTTTACTCAGCATATTGGACACCATTTTGCGATCCGGGCGTTTGTTCGGTCCAGGCGTTAGGTACGTATTGGCAAAGTTGATCAGAGCTGCAAGAGTGAGAGAATGCGACAGACATTGGTGAGCAGCTCTGGTGCATGTGGTTTGCTTGCCTTACCTGGAAACATTTTTTCGAATTGCTGACTAGCTTTAAGTGCCGTGACATTGGCCTTGCCGCATAGCCCAATTATCTTCTTGGCAATGTCCGCACGCTGTGTATTGCTGTTAGTGCCATCCATGTGGGCATAGACGAACGGATAGAGCTTGTAGAATGTCTGCTGCGGATGATCGGTGCCGCAGCGCACCAGCAAATCGACGAGTATCTTGTGGAAGCTTGCATTCTTGGAATTGAGGCGTCCGGCCAGTTGGCTGACGGCACAGATGAACTTGTAGCTGGGCACTGTTGTGATCGCTTCTTTGATCTTGTCCAGCATCTTTTGGTTCTGGTCATTGGTGAACCAGAGTGCTATGATGCGATAAATTGCCGCACTAGAGAACCCACTGTCCAGCTCACAATACTTGATATAATGCGAGAGAGCCGTGCACAAGTGTTCGGTCAGATTATCGTCGATGCGCTTCAGCTCCTGTTCGTCCAGCTTGGCGAATCGATTCAAGTTGATCGCGCCAATTTGACGATCACGATCGGGTTGCTCGCGGCTTGTCACTGTTCCGGCCAGTTGGCGATTCTGCTTGATGATGTTGACCAGCGTCTGATATTCCTGCGAATGCCGATAGTCGTGCAGCCGCTGATACTCACGATCGGCATACTTGGCCATCGCCTCGTGGTTGGCCTTGAGATTCTGATTCTCGAACTTATCGAATGTATCCCAATCGAAGACGCCGGTGAATTTCTGTTTAAGAGTCGACTGACATGATTTGAAGTGTTCGAGCAGTTTAATCGACTGATTGAACTTGTGCTCCATGGCGTAGCTCAAGCTCTCGGCATTGCTGTCGAGCAGGAATTCACCATGCATCCGCAGGGCCGTCACACGCTGCGGGCAAAACTGAAAATCTTGATTCTTATTCACGTACTGCAATAGGGATTTGGCTACATGATGATTGCCACGCTTGATATTCACTTGGGCATCCTCCAGCAGCACGGAGATCTGTAAGAGGAGTATGTGTGAGCTGGCAGGGAACAGACTGAGTCCATCGCACGCTTACCTTGGTGGGCGACTTGATATCGGGCGTGGTGCGCAGCGTGGATATGTATTTCGTTGCCAAATTCAATTTGCCAGCGGACTTGCATTCCTGGATGCACTTCAGCATGTAGGAGTCGACGGGACTCTGATCGTAATACTGTTTTATGCGACGATCGGCCCTAGTACCAGATTGCTTGAATAGCGTTATCTGATGGGCGAGTATTTGCTCCTTGCAGCTGAAGCTGCCATAAGTAAGATTTAGCTCCGTTTGCCATTTGTTGAATATTTCATCGACCTGCGTAGGGGCCAATTGCTGGCTGAACTGGATCTGTGAATGTGGAGCAAGTTTCGTAACATTTTCACTCTCAGACCGCACACACACACACACACACACACCTGATAAAAGTCCTCGGTCTGTTGGAGTGTGCACAGCCAGGTCATGTACTTGTACACCGATTGCAGGCACTCGATGCTAATGTCCTGCAATATCCTTTGGACGCACTGATAGGCATTGTTGATAGCCGACAGAGTGTTCTCCTGCTCGCGCTTATTAATGCTCATCAGTGCGAGATAGTGATGTTTGTTGTACTCCAGCTCGAGATTGTTGGACCAATCGACGTGGTGAGTCCTCTCGGTCTGGTCATCCCATTGGCAGAGACGCCACAGTATCTCGTAGTTAATTGGAATGTCCTCGCAAGAGCGCTGATAGAGATTGGCAAACGTTAGCATGCCGTTGTCGTTCATTATGTCCAAGCACTTGCTAGTGCTCGACTCGTTCTGATTGTCTGCTTCCAGCAAAGCCTCCGACAGGTTATTGTTTAAGCTCAGGAAGTCGACGCGTGAGCTTAGAGGATTCAGAAATCCCGGTATGGCATCTAGACAACCAATCGACTTGTATGCCTATTGCAAGAGTTATAAGAGTATATAATTGTATTTCGATTTCAATTTCATTAAGCGAATTTCCTTGCTTACCGTCTTGGCGTACGTTTGAAAGCTGTCAGAGTGGAGAGGCGACTCGGCTGGCTTTAAGGAAGAGACCCAAAGCTCCAGATACATAATGCTCATGAAATATGCCTGGCAATGATTGCTGGCCTTGACCACATTGCCCAAATCGATGGGAATGGTCCTGCAGACATGCATTAGAAAGAGAAGGAAATAAAAACAGAGCGAGAGAGAGAGAGAGAGAGATGAGATATGTGCTGTTCCCCACAGTGCGAATGGAGCCTACCAATTGTTAACGACGCGCACGCATTCGCACATGTACAGGAATCGCTTGATTATGCGCTTGTCCTGATAGAATCCCGTGGTGCTATTTGCTGAATTTTCAAAGAAGTAATTGAGCATCTCGCATAAGCTAGCCAAATGCACATCTTTATTGGCCATTACGAGTTTGACGAACGTCTGCAGACAGGTGCTGGCAAAGTCAACGGACTGGCATGCAAATTCATCGAATCCTGGCCAGCGGCAGGCCTTGAACACAGAGCCCATAAATTGGCATAGCCAGGGCTCATAGTCCAAGTGCTCCGTGTCCTTGAGCATGGCAAGCCAATTGATTTGCGGAATGTTGACGAACGAATTCAGGAAACTCGACGTATTCAAGCCAACGTAGAAGATACGCAAATACGGATAACTATCTGCAAATCAAGAATTTACTTTAATAAATCTCATTAAATAATGCAAATACTTCATGTTTACCAATTAAATGCTCAGCACTCCTGCTGTTTACCACTTCCCTGGCCACTTGGATGACGGCCTTGTGTGTGTTGACATCGAAATCGAATATATGCCGCTCCAGTGCCTCCATAATGACGGCTACGAACTGCTCCATTGCAGCTGTCAGCTGCAATAATTTTATGTGAATCCATAAGTAACAAGATATTATACTAGATTGAATAAAGTAAGTGACAAATGGCAAAATGAGGCGACTCTATATCATACTAGTTTACTTAGAGCTTACGTTAATTTAGCATAGTTAAAGCGGAGATGATGGAAACCGATTAATTTCTAGTTTACAGTATAAGCAATACTCTCTTAATTGTTATATTGCTGTACCGGCTGTATGGACTCGTAGTCAGTTAGAAAGTAGTATGAAATGTGCTTCATTTTAATGGGCCCGATCTCGGCGAGACATTTGAGCGCATCCATGTTTTGATTGTACTTGGGCGACTCGCGCACCATTTGTATGAGCCGGCTGACCAACTCGAATAGCAGCTCGTCATTGTTCTGTAGCTCCTCCTTGTGTTCGGCAATCTGATGGGTTTGAGATTATATCAAAATATCAGCACATAATTAGTGTTATGCAAACTTCAACTGCTCACGTATTCGCGCAGACCGTGCAAGCGCTCCGAACTGTTCGGCTCGAGAAAGGCGCGTATATAGTCCTCGAAGTTTTGTTTGCTGATCTCGGGCAGGGCCGGCTCAAACCTATGACGCAACTCTTCCAAATGGTCGCACCCATCATCGGCCTGATCGAACAGTCCCTGTAATTGCAGTTCCGCCTTGTACTTTTCGATGTAGGAAATGATTATTTTAGTTGCCATAGTCTGCAATTCCTCTGACTCGACATGCTTGAGGCAGTCAATCAATAGTTTTGCCAGGTCCTGATTCTGAAAACTGTCCTTTGGCAGCATCAATTCCAAAAACTTGAGCGCAGAGCGATGCAATTGGTCACATTTGCCTGCAGTAATATATAAATAAATGCATCAAGTGAATGGAGCAGCAAGTGTTGGGAGAATTCACTCACTGTGCAAGAGAAAGCGACAGACAAAGAACCAAATGTCCCGTGCAAAATGGGCAGCATGTACATCTCTCAATTTGGCATCCGGACTGCGCATGGATTCCAAATTTTGAATTGCATCCAAAACGGCATCAGCAATGGTGCAGTACAGGAAGAAGGAATTTACCACGTGACTGGGCAGCACAGCCTGATAGCAATCGCTTTTCAGCATGCCCAGCAAATCGATCAGCATCATCGGCTGCTCGAACATCAGCGCCGATATGGTCTGTATGCGCAGATCTGTGGACCACTTCTTACTCTTCTACAAGACAAATTTGAAGTTGATTAGAAACAAGGTAAATTTGAAATTTAATTCGTATTGCAATCTACCACAAGTTGCGCCATTGATTTGAAGAGTGATTTGGCAGATATATTGAACCACTTCGGCTGGTCAATGCTCAAGGCTGTACCACCAAATAGTCTGTCCAGCTCATCTTTGTCCGACAAGAGCTTGATCGTTCTGTACAGTGCAATTGCACTGAGCTCCTCAGTCATCGGCCGCATTTCAAAGAACTGCAGATTCCGGGTTAGATTCTCATGACGTTGACGAAACTCATCGCAGTGGGATTCATCTGAATCGCTTGAAGCGACCGCCAAAAAGGCTTGCAGTATGATCATGGTGGCCTTGAAAAGATTGGGAGAGATAGAGATATTGCATATAGGGAGGGTACTATATATGAATGTTAGCATTACATTTGCATTCAAGTATTTTTGAAGGCGTTGTATGTCCTCGGGTGTTCCATAGATGAACATATAAGCCATAATGCCATTGATTTCTCCCTTAACAAAATCTTCTTTGGTATCGTAGCAAAGGAAATATGGAAATCTGCAGTGGATGCCAACTTTCTAGTTAAAAGTCTATGCTAATTGCGAGGTTAGCTTACTTGGATGGGGACCAGTTATTCGACATCCATTTGTGGACTAGGCTGTCCGTGTAGGGTAAGAATACCTGACGCATGCTCCGATTATAGCAAGGCACTTGGCACCGCAAATCACAGAAATCAACTGGGAATCATATATAAATAAACAGCTATATATTCCACTGGCCATTAAATGTCATTCACTTATGCCTACATGCAGTCAATTTATGATGGGCACAATAGGGCAATAGATCCTGCAGGGCCGAGTCCTGGTGGTATGTGCTAAAGGCAAAGAAGGAAATCAGCGCCTGAATGGCCACCGCATGATTGTTCTGCACGAGATCCTCGCCGATGAACTGCAATGTGAGGCAAACGTATTACCACTATTGAATATATCCGTAGTCCTATCACATCGCACTCACCGTCAGCTTCTTCCAGTCAATTTGTTCGTATAGCTCCTTGGTAAATGCCAAATGGTCGGCATATTTATGCATTGCGCCGCCCTCCTCTATCGATACGCAAAAGCTCGCATTCAGCAGCTGGGTGAGCGTTGTAATTGCGGCCAAACGCACCTCGATCGTTGGCATTGTTAAGAACTTGGTCGTCGAATAGCAAATAACATCAAAGTTGGGCATTTGGAGGATGTGCGGACAGCGCTGCGCTATCAGCCCGATAGAGCGTACAATCTTCACTGACAACGGTGCAGGATATGCTTTCTTCAGTGCTATTCGCATCAGTGATATTATCGCCGACAGCATATCGTCCAGCTCATGCTCATTGAAGCACGAAAAGAAAACAACAGCTGAAAGCGAGCTAATTTAGTACATGTCGCAGTTGGTTTCGCGTTTTCGCAAATATTTACTGGGTATTTCGTCGATTATCTCGCTTATGAATTCAATGTTGGAAAAGTGATGTAGAAAGAGCTCCTTCAGTCTCTCGATTAGCCAAACGATGCACTCCTCCCATAAGGTTTTGCATTTGCACAGCATCTGGGAGTCGGAAATTGAATTTCATTAGCCATTTTTAGTTAGTTTACATATTACATTTAGTTACCTTAACAACCAGCAGCACATCCTGCGGCTTGGAGCGTAGCTTCAGATTCGTAGCTATATGACGAAATGCTTCTCTATTATAGGAACTGTTTGCACACAGGTTGCCCAGTATATGCAGGCAGCTGGCAACCAGTGTGGACTGCTCTGAGCTCTCCACTGCGCTCCTGGTTGCACCTGAAAGTAAATTCAGTGAGTTCATTTCGAGTAATCTTGAGCCTAAATCATGAAGACCCCTTGACTTGAACCACGATTATGTTACTACCTACATATTTGATTCAGCAGCACGCCTATAAATTCGAGCAGCATTTCAATGGGCTGCCTTTCCATATAGAGCAGCAATGTGTCATTTGCATGGAATACATCCAGAATGAGCATCTGTTGCTGTAGAATATCGCGCAAATCGCAAGAGTCTACGCTACTCAATTCCGACTGGAGTGACTTGTACTGGAACTGAAGAAAATACAAGTCACTTGATTGTCCAATAAAGTAAACTTCAATCTTTAGCCCACCTCAATGTGACTGAGAAACAAGCCGATGCGCTTTATAAGCGGACAGTTGGTAAAATTGTCAGCATCGAAGACTTTATAGTGCAGCAAACGCTCGATGGTGCAGACCAGCTTGTGCAGACACTTCAGGTCCCTCAATAATGATGTGATTGAGTGCTCGCTGGATGTCGATATGTTAAGCATGCGCATGAGCAGCTCATAGTTTTGCTGCGACAAACAGTTCTTGGCGTTCGAGCTGGTGGGCTTGTGTAATCCGTTCGATTGCAGCAGCACCGATTGGAATTGCTCGTCCAGGCAGATCAATTTCTTATTGTACTTGTACAACAACAGCTGCAAATTATCATTGTCTGCGGTAGTTGTGATGGCAGCTTGAATGTCCGCCAACTGTTGCAATTGCTGCCCATCGAGAAAGTTAATGATACCAATGGCAAATGTGTCTGCCAGCAATTTGGGATCAATTGCCGCTATGTTGTGAATCATTTGTGTGGCGCTGCTCTTCTCGGTGGCGTAGGCCCACTTGATAATCGGCTCCAGGCTGTTGGAGGACTTTTTCAGGCCACATTGATCGGCGTTTATGAATATGTGGCGTATGGTTTCCATGCACTCATTGCGCCGCAGCATCTCATTTGTTGTAATGCTCTGCAGCAGAGCACTGCACGACGCTTGATTCAGTTTTTTGTATCTGATGAATGATCGCAAGATCAGTTGTTTCTCAATGATTTCATCGGCTGCGGGCCGTGTCTCTGCTATCAGGAATGTGGCAATTTTGGTCCACTGTTCGCTCAGAAAGTTTGCTGGAATCGATTCCTCTTTCAGCAGCTCTAGTTCCTTCTGCAGTAGGCTCGTTAGGCAGAGGCGCACATTACGCAAATTCTTGCCATTGCCATAGATGAGCAGGATATCGACCGTGGTCGACAGCGCAAGCTGATAATTGGCCGCATTTATGATTCCACTAAACTGCATCAGTTCAGCAAAGATGGCAAACCTGAGAAGGATATCTGTAAATACATATTGCATTGATAGAGATGGGTTTACCATATGACGTTAAATTTCGTTTCCTGTTTGTCAATCAGTTGGATGACTTCCTCCAACCTATCGACTCGCACACGTTTGCTGGGCGTCTCCTCTGGCTCACTGGCAGCACTTTTCAGTTCCTTATGCCAGTTAACCTACAAAATTTATACATACATAGTTTACGTCTATATGGCGATAGTATTTGATATATCTCTTTACAATATAGACAACAATTGCTGCCATTTGAATGAACTTGTCCGAGAACAGATTCAGCACAGACGATTGGCCGCGGCCAATGGAATGTTTTCTGATTTCCATATCAACAATTGTGCGCAATTTCAGCACAGTCTGTTGCCAAGTCTGGTCAATTGGCACACGAAAAGTGTCAAAATCATGGCTATTCATTTTTGGATATAGCGCTCGCAGTGATAATGTAATACAATTAAAGAACACATTTTTGATATCGTCGCGAAAGATGTCATCATTGTGAAAGTCACAAAGCTTAGGCACGATCTCCTGCATATGGACGCAGAGCTTATGGTGATAGTTGACCGACAACTAGGGATTAGATTCGATTAGCTGGTTAATAGACAATTAAGATTTCAAATTCTACTTACCTCGGTAACGATTATCTCATAGAGTCGCACAATTTCTTGTTTCCTTTCAGCGGTATTTGCTGTCTTCGCGAAATTGCTGATCATGGGCAAGTAGTCAACGAGATCGGCGTGCAGCTGCACACGTTTCTGTGCTAGCTGCAACGTTTTTGTAATACACTTCAATATCTTGGAACGTAGTAGTTCGTCATTGTTTAAGTTCAACTCAAACAGGTATGACAGTACACCTGGGATGTATGAATGGATTGTGATATGGGAAACATTTGACGTTGATCTATTGTAACTTACAGCTATATTCGCTAACTTTCAAGTTTTCTATATAGGTGCTCGACAGAAAGATGCCTCTGTCCAGTAAATTAATGAAATGATTGCCGAAATGCCGTACAACAATGCGCTGCTTAATGCCCTCCTCGAAAGCATTGAATATAGTGGATTTGGACAGAAAGTGACTGCCAGATCTGCCCACTGCAGTTATAAAGAATAAAACGTAAGATTACTAATGATTTCCACTCCAGGCTGATAGAACTTACTCTCCAAATTGTATTCGATGATCTTGTCTATGGTGTTTCCGTATAAATAACATTTATCTGATAGCGTTTTGAATGGCTTCTCGTTGGCCTCTTGCAAGTTGGCTGAATGCTGCAAATTTTTGAAGAAATGTGTAGATAAGTACTGCAAGACACTTACAAATTTTAACATTCTTACCTTAAAAATCGCCTCCTTGGTAGCATTAAAGACGGCTTTCCAGCATAAATCTTGTTTTTTACAAAGAACGCCGTTTAGGGCCTCCTTGGAGCTGGTCAGCTTTTGGTCCAATTGTTCAACAGCTTTATTGCGCGTGGTTGGCTTGTCGCAGCGCATTTCGGTAATAATGCGTTGTACTTCATTTAAAAGTGGATTCATTTTGAACACTGCCTTTTACAGTCTTACTTTCTTGCCGAATTACAGTCTTCAAGTTAAACTCATTTTTGTGCGAAACTTTTGGCTCCAAGTCTAAGCGGGCAGTAGTAGTGTGACCGTAATCTTTAATACATTTAAAAATATCGATTATTTGACCAAGAAAAAGTATCGATTATACGTAAATAAAAATGTAATTTAAAAATGTATAAATATTCTTTACTTATCTCTTGGATAGAAATAAATAGTAAGAAAAGATCAACAATGACATATTAGAGTAACAAGTAAATAAATAAGTAAATATATTGATGAGCAAGGGAAAAGCTTGAAATAAATAAACGTCGTCTGGGCTACATGAAAAGCAAATATAAATAAAAACATAATTTAGACGTAGCGAATAGTTATTTGTTTTTATATTAGCACTGATATTAGTTAGAAACAGTATGAAATGATCAACAATGACAAATTAGAGTAGCAAATAAATACCAGAACACTTCCCACAATCTTTTGCAGATTCAACTATCGCTCATCTCCATTAATATATCGATGGACAGTTGGAAAGTCCGCCACAAATGAACGGCGTTTGGGCTATATTGTTTTGACGAAATGCCGATTGAAGTTTTTAAATCTGTGCGCGAAGTAAGCAGCGAAGATGCGGTAAGTTAAATCAATAACTGAGGAAAATAACCTCGTAAACTGTCTTATCAAATTGCAGGTACATGTGGCTGCAAATCTGTTAAAGGAGAATGCCGCCAAAAAGTGGAAGACCCAAGCGATCGGTGAGAAGTCGGCGCATGTAATTCTGGAGTTCGAGGAGCCGCAGCAAATTACGGGCATAGACATTGGCAACGAGCATTCCGCCTTTATTGAGGTACTGGTTAGTAAGACCGGCTGCCAGCCAGATGATTTTAAGGAACTACTGCTCTCCAGCTCGTTTATGACGCCCATCGAGAGCAAGAACTCCAGCAATATAAATCGTGTGCGCTGCTTTAGCAGTGATGCCTTGTGTCCGGCCGCGCTAACAGACAAATGGAAGCTGGTGAAAATTGTGTGCACGCAGCCATTTAACAAGCATGTCCAATATGGCCTCTCCTTTGTCAAGATGCATGTGGCGGGCAGTGCAAAGCCTAAAAGCCTGGTGCCCGATAAGTTCAAGCTTACGGCACGTCCTAATCCTAGTCCCAGTCCCGCGGTGACTGCCTTGGGTCGTTTTAAGCTGCGCGAAGAGTCACCCGACTCGGAACCAGATGGCAAGGCTTCACTCTCGCTCTTTCAGCGCTGGAAGGCAACCAGAAATGAGGATACCAGTACTGCAGCTGCTATACGAGATGCCGGCTCACCAGCTGCTCTGCGACGCTTAAGCGATTCCCGCCCAGCGCCCATTAAAACGCCAACAGCGCAGGCCAACAGTCCATCGAGCGCGACGCAGGCAGAAACTAAAGTCTTGGATCGAAATCGAAATTCACTACTGTTTGGCGATGACGAGGATGAAGATACTCCGGAAGGGGCTGTGGCAGATGCGCGAAAGCAACGCTTGAGCAAACACCTTGAGGCGGACAAGAACCGACGGCGCATAGAGCTAGAGAAGGAGCTAGAAAAGAAGAAAAACAAAGGCAAGCGTCTATCTACAGAAAAGCCAGCTGCCAAGCACGATGAGCACCCAGAGAAAAAGAGCGAGTCGAAGCCAGCTGCCAAGCAGGATGAGCAACCAGAGAAAAAGATCGAGTCGAAGCCAAGTGCAGCAGTACAGGCCCAGAAGAGACTCTCGTCCTCGCTAGAAGAGCAGAGCAAGCCAGCCAAGAAGCCGAAAATTAAAGAGCTAAAATATGTGCCATTTAATCAGCTGCTGCGTGGCGTTGTGCTCGTCATCAGTGGCATTCAGGTGAGCAGAACTGCACATAGTTGACCTATGCTTCCTCAAGACATGCAACCTTCTTTTATACAGAATCCTGATCGTGCAGACTTGCGCTCGAAGGCCATAGCGCTAGGCGCCAAATACAAAGCAGATTGGGAACCAGGCTGCACCCATCTAATGTAAGAGTATATCTCAGAGAGTCCTTAGAGCCTCACAGTCAAACTATCGAGTTTATCCATTGTAGCTGCGCCTTTAGAAACACGCCCAAGTACAATCAGGTCAAGGGCCATGGCAAAATTGTGACGCGTCGCTGGATTGAAAAATGTTATGAACTGAAGAAGTATTTGCCCTGGCGACGGTTTGCATTGGACAATGCGGAAATGGCGCAGCCTGAGAGCGATGAGGAGCTGTATGATGAATCATTGAAGCCCACAGTGGACGATGATGATGCGCATGACAAGGCAGCCAGTCCTGTTAATCTGGCTGAAAGGCTGGACAACAATAACAGGAGCTACGAGGTGCATTCGTCTGGACCCGACACAGAGGACGAGCTCGAACGAGTGGCCCAAGAAAGTATGTTGTAAGATCTGCCAATTTTCAATTTAATATGCAATACAAATTAATTACAGAAAAGAAATTGAAGCAATCAGCTGAATCGAATGGCAACAAGTCGAACTCCAAATCGAAATCTCGGGATGTTTACGAAGTTAGCACAGATGAGGAGGATTATCTGCAGGAAAAGCGAAAGCAGTTGTAGTTGTTAGTTAAGTCCAGTATTATGTGTTTTTATTATGTGTATAGATAAGCTTATGGATAAGTTTATATTATGTTTTTCATATATTACGTCAGTAAAGTGATATATATTTAAACGACTTGAATAAACCTCGGCCACATATTTGAAAATGCGCGCGTATGTAGGCTGTTAAATGGTGCTGGCACATGCGCGGATTTGCCCTTGAAGTCCTGAAAGTATTTTTGGCATTCTATGTGAAAGGAGAATATTCGAAAAAGGCAAAAATGATTCTGTTTTAGTTCACAATGAGTATGCTTAGCAATAGCATTTATTTGTTTTATATCCTAACGATTTTTTAGCTGAAGTTATTACGAAGAACGTTTACTTTAATGTATGAGAAAATAGAAAAGTAATTTTTGTTTCATAAAAATAAGGACACAAAACAGTTAATTAACATTTGTATATTGTACAGCAGATGTGGCAGCCTAAATTTCGATCGAAATCGAGAGATGTGGCAGCGCTGAATTCGTGTATGCATTTGTCGTACCAGCTGGGTAAAAATGCACTAAAAAATACCTTATGCCATTTAACACTGGCTTGCAATTCACAATAGACGGCTGCATTGGCTGCCTGTAGACATAAAAAAAAAAAACGGAAAAACAACTTGTGTCTGGGCTCAATTATGCTCGCAAGGATAACATAAAAGGAAACGACACATACAAACAACATACACATACACACATATAGCAGCAGCTACGTTTCCATAGGAATCGTTGAGAGTGTTGCTTGCGAGCCGAGACTACGATACACGGCGTATACGTGTTTTATTTGCTGCGCTGTTAATAAACGGTATGAGAAAAATATAAAAGAAAAATGTATCTGTATAATTATATATATAATTATATATTCACTATAGGCAAGTGCATGTGCTAAATTTTGCATGTTAAAAAACTGGAAAACAAAGACCAAATTTGAGACTCGAATTTCGGGCTTAGGTGAAAAATCAATAGAGCGAGAGAGAGAGAGATAAAAATAATGTGTTGATTGTTGATGTTGTTGTTGTTTTGCAGAATGTGCGCCTAAGGATAAACATAACAAGAAATAAAAACAACAAATTAAGGTAAGTGAAATTGCGTATATACATATAAATAAATATCTTATATTTATGTATTCATTAAATATTCAGCTAAATTTAGGTAGTGCGAAAAAGAGATAAAGCAAGGAAATTCAACATGGGTAACGAGACTTCCCTGCCAATGGACATGTGCTCCAATTTCGATGCGGATGAAATTCGTCGTTTGGGAAAACGTTTTCGAAAACTCGATCTCGATAATTCGGGTGCATTGAGTATCGATGAATTCATGTCACTGCCGGAGCTACAGCAGAATCCGCTAGTGCAGCGTGTTATCGATATTTTCGATGCCGACGGCAATGGTGAGGTGGACTTCAAGGAGTTCATCCAAGGCGTCTCACAGTTCAGTGTACGCGGCGATAAACTATCAAAGTTGCGTTTCGCCTTTCGCATCTACGATATGGACAACGATGGCTACATATCGAACGGCGAGCTCTTCCAGGTGCTGAAAATGATGGTCGGCAACAATTTGAAGGATACGCAACTGCAACAGATTGTCGACAAGACCATTTGCTTCGCCGACAAGGATGAGGATGGCAAAATCTCCTTTGATGAGTTCTGCTCTGTGGTGGGCAATACGGATATACATAAGAAAATGGTTGTTGATGTTTAAGCTAAGCGGCCAATACAGACACCACACATACAGACACACATACAAACACAGACACACACATAGACATATATATCTGTAACGATATATACATATGTATGTATATATATATATGGAACTACCAAAGAAATCAAATTTTGAACTTCACTTTAATTCGCGAAAAGCAAAACAAGAGTAAACAAACAATTTTGATGTATATGTATCGTCAGTACCTCTACCATTTATATATGTATATGTATGTATGTATTTATTTAAGTGCGTGCTCTCAAGGCACAACAACAAGTAACTAACTAACTAACTAAAAGAATTACTATAACAAAGAAAGGAAGAAGTATATGAAAATGTAAAAGGTGAGAATGAAGAAGAAGAAACAAATCAACTATGAAAACTCGAATTTTATACCATTTCCATGCACCCATCCTCGAGAGCGTGTGAACCAACATATTGGAATTGGTTTATTGGAATTGTGTAGCTGACAAATCTAAATACTATAATGAAGAACAACCCTAAAATCCCGAACTCCAAAATCACTCTGCCCTGCTCCATCCCCTTCCCATTACCCCTCAGTCTTCTAGCTAAGTGCAATATAACAGTATAACAGTTTAAAAACTATATTTTGTGCCTGGCTCGTTTTCAAAATCTAACTGATATTCTATTCTAAAAAAGCGTCAGCGTT